GTGTGTGCGTGTGTGCGTGTGTGCGTGTGTGTGCGTGTGTGCATGCGTGTGTGCGTGTGTGCGCGCGTGCGTGCGCGCGTGTTTGCGTGTGTGCGTGCGTGTGTGCGTGTGTGCGTGTGTGCGTGTGTTCGTACGTGCGTGCGTGCGTGCGTGCGTGCTGGCTGCGTGCGTGCTGCGTGCGTGGGTGTGCGTGAGTGTGCGTGTGTGCGTCTGTGCGTGTGTGCGCGTGTGCGCTTGTGCGCGTGTGCGCGTGTGCGTGTGTGCGTCTGTGCGTCTGTGCGTCTGTGCTGCGTCTGTGCGTGTGCGTCTGCGCGCAGGCGTCCGCGTCCGCGTCCGCGTGCGCGTGCGCGTGCGCGTGCGCTGGCGCGTGTGCGCGTGCGTTTGCGTGCGCGTGTGCGTGTGCGTAAGCGTGTGCGTGTGCGTGTGCGTGTGCGTGTGCGTGTGCGTGTGCGTGTGCGTGTGCGCTTGCGTGGGCATGTGCGTGGGTGTGTGCGTGGGTGTCTGCGTGGGTGTGTGCGTGGGTGTGTGGGTGTGTGGGTGTGTGCGTGTGTGGGTGTGTGGGCGTGTGGGTGTGTGGGTGTGTGGGTGTGTGGGTGTGTGAGTGTGTGGGTGTGGGCGCGTGGGTATGTGGGTGTGTGGGTGTGTGGGTGTGTGGGTGTGTGGGTGTGTGGGTGTGGGTGTGTGGGTGTGTGGGAGTGTGGGCGTGCGAGTGTGTGGGTGTGTGGGTGTGTGGGTGTGTGGGTGTGTGGGTGTGTGGGTGTGTGGGTGTGTGCGTGTGTGCGTGTGTGGGTGTGTGGGTGTGTGAATGTGTGGGTGTGTTGTTGTGTGGGTGCGTGGGCGTGTGTGTGTGTGTGTGTGTGCGTGCGTGCGTGCGTGCGTGTGTGCGTGCTTGCGTGCGCGTGTTCGTGTGTGTGTGTGTGCGTGTGTCTGTGTGTATGTGTGCGTGCGTGCGTGCATGCGTGCGTGCGTGCGTGCGCCCGTGTGTGTGTGTGTGCGTGCGTTGGTGCGTGCGTGCGTACGTGCGTGCGTCTGTGTGTGTTCGTGTGCGTGTGGTGGTTTCTTCGTCTCGTCGTGCGCGCGAGGCCGCGACCGCCAAAAAGTGCGCGTGGTGGTGTGGGGGGCCTGGCCGCGTCCACCGACATCGTGACGACATACACTGTCGAACCGAAAACGACGTCGGCTGCGTTGCGGCGCAGACCACAGCCCGGGGAACCTTTGGCTGGTGACCTCAGGAGGCCGCTTGGGGGTCCCGAAAGATCACCGACGCAAAATGTGAACACATCAGGTCGGAGACATCCGGAGGCCGCTTGGGGGCCACAGAAGATCACCGACGCAAGCAGTGGGAAGGTCCCTTCTGCCACCACTAAGTGTGCCATAGGGTAGGACCGACGGCAAGGACGAGACCAGCGGACCTAAACAACCCTTGTAGGACCCGATCTGCCTCCAAAAAGCTCGTAAGCAAAGCGAACATGAAGTGGGAGTGCTCGAGGATCCACTGGAGGATCCACAGTTGGAACGCTCGTGGATCCACGAAAGGATGAATAGTGGGAGAACACGAGATTCCACTAGGGCACGTACAGTGGGAGCATTGCTGGAGCCAGGAGAGGGTCGAGAGTGAGAACACTGGAGGATCTACCAGAGGATCGGCAGTTGAAGCAATCGAGGATCCACTAGAGGAACGATAGTGGGAGCACCCGGGGATGCACAAGAGAGACCAGAATGGGAGTACGAATGGGTCCACTTGTTTCTACGAGTGGAACTACCAGTAGATCCGCTACTGGACTACAGGTGGAAGCGCAGTGGATGCACCTCAGAACCAGGACTCTATTCTGAGGGGGTTTGGCCACCCTCGACGTCCACCTTCCGATCGGCAGGCGCCGCGCCGCGGCGGCCGCCGCGGTCGCATCGCCAGCCAACGGCCAGGCCGCAGCGGCGGCCGCGCCGCGGCGCCGCCTGCCGCGCAGAGTGCGCGGAAGGTGGGCGTGGAAGGAAGGAGCGCTTCCTCCTCGCGTGCACCTGCTTGCCAGCCACAGCATCGTCCCACGTGGCCGCGGTGAGTGTCTTCGCCCGCGCGACGGCGACCGCCAGCGGGAGCAAGACGGCAGCTCTCATGGCCGCAGGGCGGCGAGCAAAGGGTAGATGGAGGCAACTCCTCGAGCGAAGGTGACCCACGAAAGGGGGGGGAAGAGGGGAGATGGGGAGGGCGGGGATGGAGGACGAGGATGAGGACGAGGACTGAGACGAAGACGGGGAACAAAGAGGATGAGGCCAGCGGCCAGCGGGAAGGGGAGGGGGGACAGGAGGAACGGAAGGAGAGGAGGGAAGGGAACCAGGGGCAGAAATAGGAGGGACGAGCAACGGAAGATGCAGGAGGGGGGAGGGAGGGGAAGAGGAGCAGGAAGGGGGAGAGGATACCGCGGGAAGGAGGAGATCGCCCCCCGAACGGCCACGCCGCGCTGGCCCTCCGGGCCCTGAGCAGCCGCCTACTATCTCACCCGTAGCGGCAGGGCGGAGGCGAGCGCGATGGTCCAAACGATGGCTCGCAAAGGGCCGCCCAGTTTTGCGGCGCGGAAGGGGGGGGGAGAGGGGGAGGCCACTTTTACGAAGACAGGTCTTCGTAGAAGAAGCTGGTCGGCCTTCAATGCAACCATCTTAGAAACCCCAAGCAATCATTTCTAAGAAGCCCCCGGCCTTCTCAGAGGGGGGCGCCCTTCCCTCGCCCCACGACCTTATCGCGCCGCCGACCCTGAGATCGGAGAGAGCGTGATCCACCGCCGCTTTACTGTGGAAAATTGCCAACCTTTTCCTCCGGAGCCCGGGGGTCTCCCCCCCCCCCTCCGAAAATCCCCCCCCCCCTGCTGGAACCCCTCCCCCCCCGCCCCCCCCCCCCCTCTCCCCCCGGCAAAACCCCCCCCCTCCCCTAACCCCCCCCCCCCCCCCCCTCCTTCGAAAACCGGGGGGGGTCACTACCGGTTCGAACCCCTCCCCCCCCCCCCCCCTCCGGATCCGGAAAAACCGGGGGGGTCACTATACCGGTTCGAACCCCCCCCCTCCCCCCCGCCCCCCCCCCCCCTACTCACCGCCAGCAAACGACTCCCGGTCCCCACCACCGTCCACATCACATCCCCCACTGGTGTTCCCAGCACCACTGTCCTCACCACCACTGTCCCCGCTGGTTCCACCACCGTCCCTATTGTCCCCACCAGTGCCCCCACCACTGTCGCACTGTCCCCACTGTTCCCACAACTGTTCCCACCACGGTTCCACTCTCCCCACTGTCTCCACGGACCCAACCACTGCCTATCCCCACTGTCCCCACTGTCCCACTGACTCCTCCGCTGTCCCACTGAGCTGTCCCACTGTTCCCACCACTGTCCCCACTGTCCCCACCACTGTCCCCACTGTACCTCTGTCCCATTGTCCCACCGCCGTCCTCGCCACCGCCTTTACCAGTGTCCCCACCACCATTGTACCCTCCACTGTCCCAGTGTTTCCACCTCATTCCCACTGTCCCCACACCACTGTCCCCACCACCACCGTTCCCACCACTGTCCACTGTCCCCCCTGTTCCCACCATTGTCCCCACCACTGTCCCCACCACTACCGTCCCCACCACTGTCCCACTGTCCCCCCACTGTCCCCACCACTGTCCCGCTGTCCCCTCACCACTGTCCCCACCAACACCGTCCCCACCACTGTCCGCACCCCCACTCGGTTTTCGAGGGGGGGGGGGGTTCGAACCGGTAGTGACCCCCCCCCCCTTTTCATGATGAGCTGGGGGGGGGGGGAGGGGTTCGAACCGGTAGTGACCCCCCCCGGTTTTCCGGAGGGGGGGGGGGGAGGGGTTCGAATCGGTAGTGACCCCCCCCCCGGTTTTCCGCCAGCAGCGGTAGAACACGCTCTTTCTGAGATCGATCCATCCGCATGCACAGTCGACTACGATCGATCCGAAGGCCGCCCGTCTACGGGGGGAGTCGTCCTCCATAATGCGCAATCGAAACGATCGATGGCAACGCCCACACATCGGCGCATATCGCCGAATCGATCGATTCGTGGACAGCCCCGCAAAATGTTGCAGAATCGTGGTCGTCGTCCTCGCCATCCCCTTCGACGTCGTTGGCTAGCGATCACGAGCGGCCCCGAACGACCGCCAGAGGCCGCCCACTCACGGGGCTCGCCACGAGGAGGACGCCAACTATCCACCTGCGCGCACCGATATTGCCCAGGCCCATCCTAGGCCCAAGATCGGTGGACACGCCGCCGCCCCCCCCCCTCCCCACCCCCAACTCCGGCCTGGCCAGGCAGGCGTGTCCACCTGTCCACAGGCTCAGGACTGGCATGGCCAGGATCGGTGCCCAGTGAGCCGCTGGTGCCAAGCCGCCGGGGGCAATGGAGACGGGGCTTGCATCCGACTTGCGTGGCAAGGGCGTTGATCACAAGATCGACGAGATTGGCACGTCACCGTGGAGGAAGAGGAGGATCGGGCCAACGAGGAGCAGGAGAAAGAGGATGAGCGAGGTTAGTGGAGGAGGGGGATGGCCTCATCCGAGATGAGGTAAACAAGGAATCAACCACGCAAGCGCAGTACCTGAGCCATCGGCCAAGGAGGGAGGGAGTAGCGGCGGCAGACGCATTGGCAAACGACGGAGAGGGAGAAGGATCAAGAGGAAGAGCCGCAGCACAAGCAAATATTTTCTGACGTTGGCTTCGTCGGCGCCAAGGGCGACGGGTATTCTACTCGTCCGAGGTTGCTACAACATGATGGGCTATGACTCCTTCTCCTTCCCCTCCTTCCTCCCCGCACTCGTCCTCCACCCTCCTCCTCCTGCACCCCATCCCCAACGTCCTCAACCTCTCCCTCACTGCCCCCGACGTCGACAAAGACAGGGACGACGACGAGTAATCACGACGACGCCGAACGCAACGTTGGCGACGAAGGGGGCACAACGGCGACGCCGGGCACCACGACGACGGCGACGACCAGGGCGGCGACGGCGTGCCTGCGGGGCGCCGTCGCCGGGCCGCGCGGGGGTAAGGTGGCACGGGCGCGGCGGCTGCGAAGCCGAGGCCGACGCAGCAGGAGGCGAGGCGGCGGAGCTCGGCAGCCTCCTCGCCGGCGGCGACGTCGGCGCAATCGCCGCATGCCGACCCCCGCCTCCTCCTCCCTCCTCCTCCTCCTCCATCTTCTGTCTCCTCCTCCTCCTTCTCCTGTCTCCTCCTCCTTGTTTTCCTCCTCAGCCTCAGTTCTTTGCTCCTTATAAATCCACCGACCCTTCGGCGTGAGTGAGACGCTTTTCCGTTTGAGTCATCGTCGTCGTCGTTGTCGCCAGTCCCCAAGAAGTTGAGGAACAAAGAAAATGAACGACGTGATCCCCTCCCCTTTGTCCCCTCCCTGCCGTGGGGGCAGGGGGGGGGAGGGGGGGGAAGGGTCCTGGGTCAGAATGCCGCCCTTCCCCTCGAGTCCGGGCGGGTCCCAAGGGAATGGGGTGGGTCCTGGGTCAGAATGCCGCTTCCCTTCCCCTCGGGGTCCTGGCGGGCCCCGGGGGTGGGGGGGAGTGGTCCCTGATCAGAATGCCGCTCCCCCCAGGGTCCCGGGTCCTGGGGGGGGGGTCGCCAGCGGGGGTCCATGGCGAAATCCCGCCTTCCGGGTCGGCGGCACCGGCCTTAAAGCCTTATACGTCCCCCCTGTCGCTCTCTTGACGTCCCCGTTAGGGTGGGCAGGGCGTTTCGCCTGAGACTTCCTCACCATGTTTGATCCTGGAGCTTGACATGTGCAACAATTTCGCGAATGGAGGGCGGGTCATTTTCAAAAATGGCTCTCGCTCGCCCTAGCGCTGCGCACATTCATTTGAAAAGTTGGCAAGAGCTTCGCGGATGGGTGGCGGATCCTTTTCAAAATTCGCCGGCCCAACGGGCCAGGGCGTGCTAAGATCTCCGGTAACTGATTAACAGTATTAACAGTATTTCTAGTTCGCGCGCGCGGGGCGGCCCCTGGGGGTCCCCCGGCGAAAAGTACCCCGACCAACGCCCGGTCGCCGCCCGGTCGCCGCCCGACCGCCGCCCGACCAAGTCTACTCAGAGATGGTTTTCCTTCTGGGTGCGGCCTCTCAGGCTCCCCAGAGCGCGCTCAGAGTGCCCCAAGAGGCCCCCAAGACTGCCCAAGAGGCCCCCGAGACGCCCAAAGAGCGCTCGAAGACGCCGAAGATGACCCCAAGACGGCCCAAAAGGCCCCCAAGACAGCCCAAGAGGCCTCCAAGACGCCCCAAGAGCCTTCCAAGAGGCCTCCGAAGAGAGCCCCAAGAGGCCAAAATCGTTGATTTTCATTTGTTTTTTCGATGTTTTTTGTGTTCTGGCTTTTTCGGCTTCCGGACGCTCCAAGACGGCCCAAGAGGCCCCCAAGACCGCTCCAAGACGGCCCACGAAGCTCCCAAGACGGCGCCGAAACGACCCAAGAGAGCCCTCAAGACGGCCCAAGTGCCGCCCAAGACGGACCAAGAGGCCCCAAGACGGGCCCAAGAGGGACTCAGGAGGGATACCGAGAACTCAAAAATGGAGCCCTCCGTCCCAGAAGGCGCCCAGGAGGTCCCAAAGAGGCCCCAAGAGGCCTCCAAGAGGCCCCAAGATGTCGCCAAGAGGCCCCAGGAGACTCCCAGGAGGCCCAAAAGAAGCCCCAGAAGGCTTCAAACATGTCTCCCAGGCGCCCCCGAACGGCCTCTCAACAGACCCCAAGAGGCCCCCCAAAGAAGCATCTTGACGACGACCCTATTTCGCCCCATCGAGAGACGACCCCCAGGGAACTGCTTCACCATCAAAACTCCCCACACAACGCGTCCGAACGACACCCGCCCCCAAGAGCGCAACATGGGCAACGAACACACAGACAAAAACCAGCGATGCCATATCACGGGCCAGCGGAATGAGCGAAGCGATTCAATAAAGCTCTCGCCTTCCCGCCGCGCACATCCGCCTTAAACTTCGAGTTTTTCGGATGGAAGGCGGTTCCTTTTCAAAATGTGGCTCCCGCCGTAGCATCGCGCACATTTGCCTTAAACCTTTGCAGGAATTCCCAGATGAAAGGGCGTATTCGTCTTTAAGGTTCGCAGCAGTTTCACTGGTGGAGGGCGGATCATTTTCAACATGTGGCTCTCGCCCTAGTTCCGCGCACATTCGCTCTAACGAAATCCGCCGACCCTGTCGGCGTGAGAAGAGACTGTTCAGTTTCACTCGTCTTCGTCGACTTCGTCGCCGTCGTCGTCGCCGTCGCCGCTCCCTCTCTTTCCCTGGGCCCGTTGCCGCCCTCTCCGTTCCCTGGGCCCTCCTCCTCAAGCGCGCCAGCCAAAACGAAGTTGAGCAACGCCGTAAGTCAATCGAAGAGAAGCCCCTTCCCTTTGATCCCTTCTCCGCCAGGGGTGGGGGGCCGGAGAGGTCACGGGAGAATGCCCCCCCGGGAGGGGGTGCCCAGGGCCCCCAAAAGTCCCAAGACGAGCCAAGGCACCCTAAGACGGTCCAAGAGGATCCCGAATCGCCGAACGATCGGTCCAAGACGTCTTTACGGCCTCCAGACGGCCCAAGAGGGCTGGAAGACGCCCCAAGAGGCTTCGAAGAGCACTCCCAAGAGAGCCCCAAGAGGCAAAATGCACTGAGTTTCCTCAAGTTGTTCAAGGATTTGGGCGTTCTCGCCTTTTCAGCTCCCCGAACGATCGCCCCAAGAGGCCTCCAAGAGGGTCCCGAAACGGGCCAAAGAGGGCCCGGAGACGGCCCAAGACGCCTGCAAGACGGCCCAAGAGGCCCCAAACAGGGCTCCAAGAGTGCCCAGACAGGGGAACAAAACAACAATTTCGAGCCCTCGGCCCCGAGAGGCTTCCAGGAGGCTGCCAAGAGGCCCACAAGAGGCTCGAAGAGGCCCCCAAGAGGCCCTCAGGAAGCCCCAGGAGGCTGCCAAGAGGCTCCAAGAGGAGCCTCAGAGAGGCCCCCAGGAAGCCCCAAGAGGCCCCAAACAGGCCCCCAGGAAGCCCCCAGGAAGCCCCCACAAGAGGCCCCAAGAGGCTCCAAAGAGGCTCCCAAGAGACCTCCAAGATGCTCCCAAGGGGCCCCCAAAACTGCCCCCCAGAGGCCTCCGAGAGCGCTCCGAAGAGACCCCAAACAGAATCGCCGAGGACTCTGACCCACGTCAGCGTCGTCGTCGTCGTCGTCGTCGTCGTCGTCGTCGTCGTCGTCGTCGTCGTCGTCGTCGTCTCCTTTCAGGGTCCGCGGCACAGGCCGTAAGGCCTTCGCAATTGTGTAAGAGCTTCCCAGATGTAGGGCGGGTGGTTTTCAACGCTCTCGCCGTAGCGCCGCCCACAGTCGTCGTAAAGTTTGAAAGAGGTTCACGATTGGAGGGCGGATATGTTTCAACATATGTGGTTATCGCCTGAGCGCCGCGCACATGGGTCTTAAACAGTTGCAGCAAATTCGCGGATACAAGGCGGGTCGTTCTCGAAATGCGGTTATCGCCTGAGCGCCGCGAACATGAATATATAAAACGTTTGCAAGAATTCCACGGATGGAGGGCGAGGTGTTCGCCTGAGCGCCGCGCGCATTCGTTTGCAAAAGCTGCGAGAGCTCTCCGGATGAAGGGCGGGTCGGTTTCACAATGTGGCTCTCGCCCTGACGTATTCGTCAAATTTACAAACGTGCAACGAAATTAAGATGGCTGACTTCCTGGAAATGGTGTCCCGGCATGATTGAGGATTGTCAGGGCACCACTGCCACGCTGCGCCGCGGTGTTCAGATCCCAGGAATGGCGTCCTGGTGAGATGCAGGATCGTCAGGACGCAACAATGAAGTTGATTCGTCGCGTTGGAGTCATAAGAGTGGTATTTTGGCACAGTTGAGGATTCTCAGACGCTTGTCTGCCAACGAGGCATTTGCAGCAGTGAAGACAAATTATTGTAGGGACCTTTGAAGAGGGAACTTGGAGAGCGGCCTTATTCCAACATCGTTGATGCGCCTTGGTTTACACCCATCTTCCCAATCATCCTGCCTAAGAGATCACCTGCACATCTGGTGCTGGGAGGTCCAGCCGACTCGGACAGGCTCTCGGATGGTCTGGGAGCTCGGTGCGGGGCAGAGCTCGGAGAGAGCGCGCCCGCAGGGCCCGAGCAAAGGGGAGGGGGGCTAGGCTTAAGCTACCCCCCCCTCCCTTGAGCCGCCCTTGTTGGAAGCACACCCCCCCTCCCCCCTTTTTTTTGGCAAGGGGGGGGGGTTATAGCTACCCCCCCCCTCCCCCCTTGGGCCCTCCCCGGAAGCTACCCCCCCCCTCCCCCCCTTTCCAAAGGGGAGGGGGTGCTTAAGCTACCCCCCCCCCTCCCTTGGCGCTGCCCTGCTGGAAGCTACCCCCCCCTTCCCCCCCTTTCGTGCAAAGGGGGGGGTGCTTGGAAGCTACCCACCTCCCCCCCCCCTTTGGCCGCCCCGGGAAGCTACCCCCCCCCTACCCCCCTTTCCAAAGAGAGGGGGGTGCTTAAGCTACCCCCCCCTCCATTTGGAGACGCCCTGCTGGAAGCTCCCCCCCCCTCCCCCCTTTGTGTCAAAGGGGGGGGGGCTTGGAAGCCCCCCCCCCCTTTTACCCCCTTTGGCCGCACAGCCCCCGGAGCCTCCGCCCTCCCTTTCGCCGACGATCCAAAATGAACAATCCACGATCGAGGATGGACATCGACGATCAACGATCGACGATCGAAAATCCCAATCGAATCGCTTGCAATCGATTGCACTCCATTCCACTGCAATCCCCCTCCCCACCTCCCTCCGCTCCCTCCCCTCCCTCCACACCCTTCGTTCCATCTCCTCCCTCCCCTCCCTCTCCTCCCCTCCCTCCCTTCCGTCCTGTCCCTCCCCTGCAATCCAATCGATTGAATCGATTGCAATTCAACCAATTGCAATCCAATCGATTGCGATCCAATAGATTGCAATCGAATCGTTTGCAATCCAATAGATTGCAATCGATTGCAACGCAAGTGTATCATTCAACTCGTCCCGTGCCAACGCCCGGGAACGAAAAAATACCCTGACGACGTACCCAACCCCTGCGCAAACGCGGGGCGCAAATAGTTTAGGACACTTTATAAAAGGGGGGCGATGACGGAGCGACGGTTACATATGTCTGCAAACGGAATTCGGGAGACTCGCAGGAAACTGGCTTCAGGACAAGGACTAGATAAAGCTGCTTAGTTGCAATCCCTGAGCAACCCTATCCACTTCGAAAGCGGGGATCTCAGATCGCAGCCCCCCAGGGATGGCGAGGTCTAATTTGGGTCCGCGCGTGGCGTCACTGTGCTGGGCCCCCCAGCAGGCCTCGAAAGTGGCGACAGTTTCACAGATCGCAGCCCCCCAGGGATGGCGAGGTCTAATTTGAATCCGCCCGTGGCGTCACTGTGCTGGGCCCCCCAGCAGGCCTCGAAAGTGGCGACAGTTTCACAGATCGCAGCCCCCCAGGGATGGCGAGGTCTAATTTGGGTCCGCCCGTGGCGTCACTGTGCTGGGCCCCCCAGCAGGCCTCGAAAGTGGCGACAGTTTCACAGATCGCAGCCCCCCAGGGATGGCGAGGTCAAATTTGGAATCCGCCCGTGTGCGTCACTGTGCTGGGCCCCCCAGCAGGCCTCGAAAGTGGCGACAGTTTCACAGATCGCAGCCCCCCAGGGATGGCGAGGTCTAATTTGGGTCCGCGCGTGGCGTCACTGTGCTGGGCCCCCCAGCAGGCCTCGAAAGTGGCGACAGTTTCACAGATCGCAGCCCCCCAGGGATGGCGAGGTCTAATTTGAATCCGCCCGTGGCGTCACTGTGCTGGGCCCCCCAGCAGGCCTCGAAAGTGGCGACAGTTTCACAGATCGCAGCCCCCCAGGGATGGCGAGGTCTAATTTGGGTCCGCCCGTGGCGTCACTGTGCTTCCCCAGCAGGCCCTCGAAAGTGGCGACAGTTTCACAGATCGCCCGCCCGTGGCGTCAACTGTGCTGGGCCCCCCAGCAGGCCTCGAAAGTGGCGACAGTTTCACAGATCGCAGCCCCCCAGGGATGGCGAGGTCTAATTTGGGTCCGCCCGTGGCGTCACTGTGCTGGGCCCCCCAGCAAGCTTCGAAAGTGGCGACAGTTTCACAGATCGCAGCCCCCCGCAAGCAAGACAGGAGGAGGCAAGAGGGAGACGGGACGGGAAGGAGGAAGTGGAGACCACACTGCTCTATTCAAAACGAATACCCAACCAAGGAGGGTTGGGAAAAATACGATCCCCCCCCCGAAAGTTGCACGAAGTGTAATTCGGAAGAACGCCAGCCCGTCGGGTTTGGCAGTGTTCGTGTAAGACGGCGGCCAGCTGGGGGAGGAGGAGGCGGAGGATGGGGGAGGCGGAGGGGGAGGAGGAGGGGGAGGAGGAGGAGGAGGAGGAGGAGGAGGAGGAGGAGGACGGACCCAGATAGAAGAGCGCGCCGAGTTCGGGTGACGGTCGTGGTGGGGCGGTGGGAAAAGAATTGGAGGAGGAGGAGGAGGAGGAGGAGGAAGAGAGGGAGGAGGAGAAAACCGAGGAGGAGGAGGAGGAGGAACGGAACGGAAGGACCCGCGGGAGAGTACGATGATGATGATGATGATGATGATGATGATGATGATGATGATGATGATGATGATGATGATGATCATGATGATGATGATGATGATGATGATGATGATGCTGATGATGGTGGTGATGATGATGATGATGATGATGATGACGATGATGACTATGAGGAGGATGAGGAGGACGAGGAAGAGGAGGAGGCAAAAGGAAGAAGAGGAGGAGGGAGAGGGGCGGGAATAAATGGAGGCGAAAGGGAGGGCGATGGCTCCGGGAGCTGGGCGGCCAAAGGGGGGAAGGGAGGGGGGGGCTTCAAGCCCCCCCTTTTGCACCAAGGGAGGGAGGGGGGGGGGCTTCCAAAGCCCCCCCCTTTCAAAGCGGGGGTGTGGCTCACCCCAGCTCCATTAAAAGGAGGGAGGGGGGGGGGTAGCTTGGAAGCCCCCTCCCCCCTTTCCGGCCAGGAAAAGGGAGGGGGGGGGGGTAGCTTCCGAAGCCCCCGCCCTTTCAAAGGGGGGGGGGTGGCTCACCCCGGCTCAACTAGAGGGAGGGAGGGGGGGGTAGCTTGGAAGCCCCCCCCCCCTTTCCGAACCACGAAAAGGGGGGGAGGGGGGGGGGCTTCCGAAGCCCCCCCCCCTTTAGCAAGGAAGGGGGGAGGGGGGTAGCTTCAAGCTGGGGCCCCCCTTTTAGTCTATCGGGCCCCACGCGCGCGCTCTATCAGAGCTCGGCGAAGGCGGGTTTTCCGCCTCGCCTGGGTTCTCCAATCCTCCTCCACCTGATGATGAAAACGGTTTTCTCCACAGCCCTCCTGCTCCTCTTCCTCCTCCTCCTTCTCCGCCTCCTCTTCCAATGCTGCCACTGAAGTGTGCCTGAAACTCCCTCCGGCCTGAAGGGGAAACGAGCATCTGCTGACCGCGCCCGGCGGCCTTTGCGTTGCTAGGCCACAACAAGAAATACTCGAAGCGGCGCCTGCAAAGGGGTAGCCCCGCGCAGGCCCGCCAGATTCGGAGGACGACGAGGACACGAGCGCAGAGGGGGGGGAGACAATGACGAGGCGACTGGGGAGAGGCAAGAAACGCAAGGCCCATGCTTTCTGCGCCTGGCGGCAGTGACGCCGTTTCCCCCTCCTCCTCCTCCTCCTCCTCCTCCTCCTCCACCTCCAGCTTCTCCCTCCTCCCGGGCACACGCTAACATGGATTCACGGATCGGGGAAGGTACTCCGCAACGTGAGGCCAGGCCTGACTTGGCGACGGAGCACGTCGACTTCGCACGGAAGCGGAACCGGTCGGAAATCCACGTGCCTTTTAATCCATGCTTTCGTTGTCTCGATTCTCTCCCTTCTCATCGTCCACCTCTTCTCTTCCCTATTCCCCACTCCCTCTTCAGGACAAAGGGGGAAGGGGGACAATGGGGAAGGCGGACGAAGGGGGAGGAGAATAGGAGGAGGGGAAGGCGTACGTATTTGCGTATGAGGATCAGGGGCAGCACAGGAGGTGCCCAAAGGAGGAGGAGGAGGAGGAGGAGGAGCAGGATCCCCCCCTCCCACGCGTCAATCTGCCCCCGCCCTCCATCCTCGATCCCTCTGCTCTCACCCCCTCAGCACCGCATCCTTTTTCTGGCTATCTCCCCACTGCGCTCGTCCAGGAGTGGATGAGCAGAAAGAGGAGCATGATGAGAGTAGGCGGACAGGGGGTGCACGAGGAAGGGGAAGCGGGGAAGTGGGTGATGGAAGGGGGGGAGGAACTGCAACCGCGAGTGCGGCGAAGGTCTTATCAGGAGGAGGAGAAGGATGACGACGACGACGACGACGACGACGAGGACAAACGATGAGGAAGATGGCAACCGCGAGGCATCGGAGTGGCCAGCCACTAGCATCTCCCTGTCACCAAAAACGCATCGCATGACTTGAGAAACGAAGGTGGTTTGGCGATCTCGCTTTGCCTGTCCCCGACGCATCCGCCAGAAATGGAACGATAACGGCAGAACATGTCCATAGATGTGCGGCATGTCTTTTCAGCTGGCCCTATCCTCGAAGACTCACAGGCCCGAAACGGGGTCGAAACGCAGCCGTAATCTTCCCACGACCGTCCAGATATGAGTCAGTTGGTCCTGGGAAATACGTCTGAACTCAGGCGTCGGGATCTCGCGATGGCCAGTCCTCGTCGTCCCCGGCCTCGCACATTGCCGCGATCGCCTCCTGCACCAGGCTCTCGATGGGCCTGTCGGCGCCCGCGGCAGTCGGCGGCCGCAGCTCCGGATCAGCCTGGGGGGTTGCACCCCAACGCTCAGCTCGTCTGTGACTCTTGCGCGACTGCCTCCCCCTCCTCCTCCTCAGCGTCGACAGCGATGGCGGCGAAGGTGACGCGAGCGCCTCGGTGCCGCGGCCCTCGGCCCCGAGCCCAGCCCGACCAAGGCGCTGCTCTGCGCGCAGCGGCGCGACAAGGCCGCGGCGCGACGCCTGGGCGCCGCGCGCCGCCGCCGCCGTCTCCGTCGTCGCGGCAGTCGCCGTCGCCGTCGCCATCGACGCCGTCGAGGTCGTCGGGACAGTGGGGGGTACTCCCTGCTCCGCAGGTTTACAAGTTCGGCAAAGGCAGGCGCCTCTGTTGCCGTGCGCGGCGCCGCGAAGCACCTTCCTCCTCCTCCTCCTCCTCCTCCTCCTCCCATTCCTTCTCCTCCTCCTCCTCCTTCGCACCCCCCCTCTGCCTCCTCCTCCTCCACATCCTCCTCCCCTTGCTCATCTCCTCTCCCTTCCTGGGGCGGTGTGTAGCGAAATAAAAGGGATGTGGGAATGCACTTCTGAGCAACAGCATGCTATAGAGGAAACCATACATTGTGCAAGTATTCATCTGCCTCGCTCAAGATCGGGGGGTCTGCACCTGAGCGTGATAAACCCTCGCTCATCTTTCCCTGAAATCTTACAGGAGTAACTATTCAGCCAAGTGCTGGAACGGGCACGCGAGGCCTTCTAAGCCATAAGGTCCCGTAGGCTCCCCAGGGACAGCCGACTTACCTTGCCAGCGGCAATCAACTCGACAACAAGTCGAGAAGCACATCTTCCCGATAAGAGGAAAGGCCATCCAAACTGCCGAGGCTTCCGACTCCGACTTCGACTCCCCCCTCCTCCTTCTCCTCTTTGTCAGCGAGGTGGGCGGATCCCTCCTCCTCCTCTTCCTCCTCCTCCTCCTCCTCCTCCTCCTCCTCCTCCTCCCTGGTCCGCTCTTTCACTCATTCTTATCCTCCCCATTCTCCTCTATCTCAATTTCACCCTGCTGCTTCCCTCAGCTTGCGAACCATCTGCCGGCGTCCCTTCTCCTCCTCTCCCTCCTCCTCTACCACCTTCTCCTCTTCCCTCCTCTCATATTGTCCACTCTCTCTCTCTCTCTCTGCGGAGAAGGAAGTGAGGTCGGAGGGAGGGGGAACGCGGGAGAGTACGCAGAGGGAAGGCGAAAACAAAAGAGCGTGTGTTAGGAAGGAGGTCAGCCTCCTCCGAGGGCCTGCTCCCCCTCAACATCTGACCAACCCTCCCCGTTGCCCTCTTCACCCTCTTCCACGCTCTCTCCCCTCCTCGTGCGCCATGGCGGCTACCCTCTCAGGTAACCAGGGGACGGGAAGGAGCTCATCCTGCGACTCCTCTCGAGCAGACGGGCGAGGAGGAACATGGCCTCACCACCCGCCGCGCCGCCCGCCGCCCCAGCGACGCTTCCAGGTGCGCCGGGCACGCCAACTGCATCGCTGCTGACACTGCCCGCGCCGACGGAGGCGGCAAGGCGTGAGCTCGCAGAACCTCGGCGACGCGGCGCTTCCGGGACCCCAGCTCCGCCTCCTCCATCCTGGTTCCGAATTCCCAAAACAGTGCTTGCACTCAGGGCTTTTCTCTTCTTTACCTAAGGGAACTGAGCTTGTTCATCGTATCCGCCGCCTCGTTGCAGCCGTCGCTGCCCCGTTTCCACCTCGTCGCCGTCCGTCGTCTGGGCTCGTTTGTTGGGTCCGCCGCCGTGTTGCGACGGTCGCCGCCCCGTCGCCGCCTCGCCCGTCGTCTGGGCTGGTTTGTTGGGTCCGCCGCCGTGTTGCGACGGTCGCCGCCCCCTCGCCGCCTCGTCGTCGCCCGTCGTCTGGGCTTGTCTGTCGGATCCGCCGCCGTGTTGCCGCCGTCGCCGCCCCATCGCCGCCTCGTCGCCGCCAGTCGTCTGAGCTTGGTTGTCGGGTCACGGACGGGCCCGCCGCCTTGCTGCCGCCAGCCGCAGCAAGAGGTGCACTACATAGATTGCACTACACAGATTGCACCACAGATTTTGGGAAACATGAGCAAGTTGAGCTGGTTGCACAACGTAGATTGCACAACAGATCTTGCACCTGGCAAAACCTATAGTGGTCCACATGCTTTGCACACCGCAAATGTTGCATCACCTATGCACCTACAGATATACATATATATAGACTAGAACCACGCGTGCTTCGCGCGCGCTTAGGTTCTAGCTAGGCTTCACGGTCAAAATTTGAAGATCTCTATTTTGTAACACATCCTTCTGGGACACCCAAGAACTACGGCAAGGCCCAAGTGACTTCCAAGACCTCCTGAGGCCATCCCACAGCGACCTAAGAATGGGCCAAAATGTCGTCGTAGTCGTATATCTGTGCATGTTCGGATCCGCAAGAAGACCCTTCCGGACACCTTTGGGAGACCTCTTGGAGGCCCTCCGATCCGTTTTAAACCATCTTGGAGCCTCGTGTGGGCCTCTTGGGGGTCTCTTGGGAACCTCTTGGAGCCTCTTAGGGACATTTGGGGCCTCCTGGGAGGTTCTCTAGGCGGAAGGCCGCAACTTTCGAGTCGGAGTTCCCCTCTTGGATCCCTCCTGGAGCCGTCGTAGTCGGCCCTTGGGCCGTCTTGGCCCCCTCTTGGGCTACCTTGGGGGCCTCTTGGGAGCGTCTTCGGTTCGCTTGGGGAAATCTTTGGGGCATCTTGGACTGTCTTCAAAGCAGTGAAGGCCCCAGGAATGTAACGAATGTGGTCTCTTGGAATCCTGTTGGAAGTGCTCTTGGAGGCCTCTTGGGACGTCTCGGAGCCTTCTTGGACCTTCTTGGGGCCATCTTAGGCAATCTTGGGCGACTCGGGACCTTATTGGGCCTTCTTGGGGCCCGTTGTGGGGCTAACTTGGGCCGTCTTGGGCAGCCCTTGGGCCGTCTTGGCCCCCTCTTGGGCTATCTTGGGGGCCTCTTGGGAGCGTCTTCGGTTCGCTTGGGGAAATCTTGGGGGCATCTTGGACCGTCTTCAAAGCCGTGAAGGCCCCAGGAATGCAACGAATGTGGTCTCTTAGAATCCGGTTGGGACGTCTCGGAGCCTTCTTGGACCTTCTTAGGGCCATCTTGGGCAATCTTGGGCGATTCGGGGCCATATTGGGCCTTCTTGGGGCCCGTTGTGGGGCTAACTTGGGCCGTCTTGGGCAGCCCTTGGGCCGTCTTGGCCCCCTCTTGGGCTGTCTTGAGGGCCTCGTGGAAGCGTCTTAGGCTCTCGTGGGCAAGTCTTGGGAGCCTCCTGGGCCGTCTTCAGAGCCGTGAAGGCCGAAACGTCGCATATGATAAACATGTACGTTTCCCCATCGGAATTCAACGAGTGTGGCTTATTGGGGCCCTCCTGGGAATGCTCTTGGAAGCCTCTTGGGACGCCTCGGAGCCCTTTTGGACCGTCTTGGGGCCATCTTGGGCAGTCTTGGGCGACTCGGGGCCTTCTTGGGCCGTCTTGGAGGCCAACTTGGCCGTCTTAGGCGGCCCTTGGGCCGTCTTGGCGCCCTCTTGGGCTGGCTCAGGGACCTCTTGGGAACGTCTTGGGCTGTCTTGGGCAAGTCTTGGGAGCCTCTTGGACCATCTTGAAAGCCGCGAAAAGTCGTACATGCTAAAAGTGTACGTTTTCCCATTTGGGCCTCTTGGGTCCCTCTTGGGAGTGCTCTGGGAGTCCTCCTGGGCCGTATTGGGCAGCTCGGGACATCCTTGCACCGTCTTTGGGGCCTCTTGGAACCCCCTTGGCTCGTTTTGGCACCCTCTTGGCCTCTCTGGACCGCCTCTGGGGAGCGAAACGGGGGTGTAATCAGCGGGCTTCCCCCGAAGGTTGCGGGGTGGGCCGGCCCAGGTCGGGGGGGTCTACTTTTTTATATGATGTATGTAAATATATATATATATATATATATATACACACTCACCAGAACCATGCGCGCTTCGCGCGCGCTTAGATTCTAGCAGTGCCTACGGAACTCTCGTATCCCAAGTTGACCATGAGCAGGGCAGAAGAGTAACAAAAAAATGCAACAATCCTTCAAACACCAACGGGAATTCGAAGGCGTTTGCTTCTTCGGGCTTTCCCAAAGCATGGTTTGGAGGCGTCTTGGCCGCCTCGGAAACTATCTTGAGCATATTGACCCGTATTGGGCCGTGTAGGGTGCATGTTGGGGCCATCTTGGGTTCTCATGAGGCCATCTTAGCGGTCTTCGAGGCATCTCTGAAGCCATCATGGTTCATCTTGGCCGTCTTGGAGGCCATCTAGGCCGTCGTGGACCGGGAAAGGGGAGTTCTGCAGCCCCGGTGCCGCCATGGACGGCACTGTCTTGCAGTTTGATCGTCGGGACCGTGGCCAAGGTGATCACAATCAGTGCGAGGAAGAGACAGCGCCCCTTCCCGCCTCTCCCTTTGTTCTCCGCGCCTTCCCCCCCTCTCCCTCTCACCTCCCCCGATCCCCTCCGCTTCTCCGCGCTCCCCTCCATCATCTCCTCTTTTCCATTGTCAACCCAATCCCGTATCCCCTACCTTCCGATGTCCAGCCGAAGCGACCCAGGGCACCAGCTGTGGCTGTTCCCAGGGGGCCGCTGCTGTAGCCCATTCGACGCAGCAGCTCGAAACCTTTCCCGTACAGGGCCGACATCTCGCCCGCGCCGAGCGGCTCCAGTTCGCGGCTGGAGAGCGTCACCTGCGATGCTGGACAGAGAGAAACGTCAGAGTGAGGGGGCCGACCGGTCATTCACTTTCCCTGGGCGCGTGGCTGAAATGGAACTCCGCGGCGCGGATTCTGCTTGATGTCGTCGCGTTGCGTTGTTGATGTCGTCCCCCCCGCGACATGGCCCGCGACGCGGCCAATCCGCGACCCACCCCGCGACCCACCCGCGACACACCCCGCGACCCACCCCGCGACTCACCCGCGACCCACCCACGACCCACCCCGCGACCCCCCCGCGATCCCCCCGCGACCCCTCCGCGACCCACCCACACTGCTTTTACAGAAAAGTCAGCGCCTGCGGCGGGCTCGTTCTATAATTTATGAAAATTAGGCGCCTGCGGCGGGCTTCTTCAGAGCCTCGCAGACTGCCGACGTCCCAGCCGCCCCTTCAATCTTAACCGCAACTGCGGGGTGCTACGAAGTTTCTGCGCCCGAGTGCACGCGTGCATCAAAGTCAGTGGCGTGTATGCACATGTGCACGTGTGTCAGCGGGTGCGCATGCATGAGTGCTGTTACGCACGCCAAGCACGCAGCAGGCCCTCCCACTTGTACGACCACAGCTTCATCCGCAGCCAATGCCGACCATGTAGACCAGAGGAAACCCTAAGCAACCACATGACAATGGCTGGGCAACCCGTGGGGCGCGCGCGGGCCCGCTGGACAACAACAGGGCAACTGTGAGACAAATATGAACGCGTCGCGGACGCGTGCCTCAAAATGGGCGGATCTCGCGCAGCTTCGCCTCACCCGCACGAAACACCGAACACCACCGGAATCCGACTTCTCAATGGAGGGGGGGATTCCGTCCCACTTCGATACCATCCGTTGCCAATCGCGCAATGTGTGGCAGGCCGACTGCCGACTGCAGAACCCCGAAGAAGTCTGGGCGAGCGCACCACTCTGATTGAATGCACACCCTGCGGGAAAAACAAAACTACTTCAAACAAATAATTCCTCCGCCTACGTACAACCCAAGAGGTTTTGACCGCACCGCACTCTGATCCCGTTTGCAATGTGGAATCCCGCTCCGAAACCCCTTTTCAAATAATGATCTGGTAACGCCGTCGCCAAAACAACATGCCGCGCCGGTCATTCCAGAGTCAAAGAAGAGAACCCAGTCCTCCGATGCCTCGATTTTTTCAATAAAGGGTCCCAGGACGTGTTGACTCCTTCTGTGCACGGGCTGGGAACTTTTCGTCCTGGCACGTTTTTGACTGTCCTGGGCCCGGAAAGCGGCCACCGCCGGGCCAGAACGCCCTCCCCCAGGCGCAAACGCAGAGACGCTGGAGGCACAGCAGGCTGCAGGTGCCCCTCGTCGCCTCCGCATCGGCCGCGTCGTCGAGCGGCGCTTCGTCGGCTGCGCCCGCGCTGCAAGCATCGGCGGGAGGCGCCTCGCGCCGTGGGAAGGCGGGCGGCGCCTCCCCCACCCCTCCCGTGCCTTACCCTTCGCCAGTGCTCCTCCTCCGCCTCCGCCTCCGCCTCCGCCTCCTCCTCCTCCTCCTCCTCCTACTCCTACTCCTACTCCTCTCTCCTCTTCCTCCTCCTCCTCCTCCTCCTCCTCCCTTTCCTCCTCCCCCTCCTCCTCCTCCTCCTCCTCCTCCTTTTCCTCCTCCTCCTCCTCCCTCTCCTCCTCCTCCTCCTCCTCCGCCACCTCCGCCACCTCGAACTGTCTTGGCGATTTGGGCCCGTGCTGACCCTCCAGATGCATCTGGAGACCTTCAGGGAACGCGCAAAGCGCGACGCGCGGGTACCGACCCGCCCTCGTGCCGACTCAGGAACGACCCATTCTTCACCCAACACACGGCCAAAACAACATCCTAGACATGTCCGTGGTTCCATCCTGGCTAGTTTTTGAGCTGCGTTCAGCTGTGGCCACGGCGGCCCACGAGCAGGGCCCCACAACTGAAACATCTAGAACATCAACTAATGTTTGAAAACCTTGTGCTTTACTTGGGTTGCAAGGCAAGCGGACGAAAACGCCACGCGGACCAGCTCAGAAGCAAGACGAACTCCTGCCAAGTAGGCGCTTCGGCTACCGCCCAGCCGACGCCCAGGGAGGCTGGAAGCTGGGCTGGAGGGCTCAGCTAAACTCAGCCGTTCTCTCTGGGTCCTCGGGTGTTGTTGCTCTTGCAGGTATCTCGAGACCAGAGAGAGAGCACGCGCGAACGACGCAATGCCGTCCGAACCCCGTGGGAAACGCGACTTGGAGAGGGAGGAGGGCCAGCAGCAAGCAGGTGAGGGGAGCAGCGCCACTCCTCATACATTTTTCGGAGAGCGGGTTCGAGAATATGCTGCGTTTACCTGCTCAAGCGCTACGGCATCAAGTTGCAATAACGACTTGCGTGGGACATCCTGCCTGTCGAGACATCGTGAAGGCCGCCCAAGATAGGGGCCAGAATGGATAGGGGTAGGAAAGCCGTACCGCATTCGCGATGCATCGGCGGCGCGCGGATGGGGAACATCAGGTTCTGGCGATCTGGATATCGAATGGTGAGTCTGCGACTGGGGGACACATTTCTCTGATCGGCTTACAGGTGGTGGGCCACTTGGGAGAAAACGTGGTATATGTTTCGGCTAGCTCGCTCTGGGAATTCGGGCATGAGATGTTGTGCTTTTTGGGTAAATGTATGCAACACGTCCCAGAAACTTTTTCTCACGCCGTAACGTAGTGTGAATAGCATGCGCCTTGTCGCAAAAAAAATGCTGACCTTGGTCACCCAGGGCCCAGGGACTCAAGACACTGATCGAACACCTTCCGAAGGACAACCACACTGCCCTAAAATACTCTAGATAAGAGCCCCTCGGCCGAAGGAACTCGGAAGCTGTGACGATGATCCCGAATGTGGATTACCGAGCAATCAGTATCTTGCAGGCGAGACCCTCGGAAGGGCCTCCTCCCAACTGCTCCTTTGACAGGCAACCACCGGGGCCAATCGAATCCCCGAGTTGCTGCCTAGCTGCCTCCGCTGACGCGCCATAGCACGTTGATCCTCAGGCTTCTGCGAAGTCGCCGACGCTCTCGCGAGGACCCCTGTGAACCCTTCTGGGCCGACTGAGCACGCACTCGGTCGGCCCGATCTGAATGCCCGGTTGGGGGGACTCATCCTTCGTCCCACTCCTCCCTCCCCCCCTCCACCGTCATTCCTGTTCCTTCCTCCGCTCCCCCGCCCCTCTTTTCTCCCGACTACGATCCTGAGAGCCTCCGCGCCGCGGCTTCCCGCCGCGGCCCAGTCCGCGAAGCGAGGCGGCGGCGGCGCATCGCGGCGGTCGCACGGAGGCCCAAGACGGCGGCCGCGGCGGCAGGCACGGCGCGGCGCGGCGCGCGCGGCGCCCTCATGAAGCGCACCGCTCCCGCCAGCGGCGGGGCGCGCTCCCGGCGCGGCGCCCCGCGGCGGCCACCGGCGCTGCCCGCGCCGCGCAGCGCGCCGCCGCGCCGCTTGGCCATGGGTTCGGCGCCGGGCTTCGGGGCAGGGCGCGCGCGCCAGCCCCGCCCTCCTCTCCCGTTTCCCCTCCGGCTGTCGTTTTCTCCCCTTGGTGTTTCCTCCTCCCTCCTCCTCCCTGGGCAGCCTCTTTCTCCTCCACTGGCGCTACTCCTCCTCCTCCTCCTCCCTGCCCCATCCCTGCTCCTTCCGCTTCCCCCTGTTCCTTCGACCGGGGTTTCGCGGAACGCCTAGACTTGAACCCAATGAACGCATCCGGCAAGGACACCCGGCACACTACAAGAGGGAGGGGAAAGAGTGCCATTTTCAACTGTCGGACATCCGGGATAAGTCCCACGGCACCCCCGCCCGCTTTGGGGCGGCGCCCCCGTGCACTGCAGGGCGGGCGGGCGGTGAAAGAGGCAGCACAGCCGTGCTGAAGCCAACGCCCTGGGGGGGTTTGGGGTCTGTGGACTCCCCCCTGGGGGTTCCTCCTCCTTGGGGGCCAGAGCCGGATAGAGGCCGGATCGGCAAAAGTCGGCAGAAATTGGCTGACGCACCGAATCGGCAGAAGCAGGATCGGGCAAACTCGAAATCGGAATCGCGAATCGGAATCCCGGAATCGAGTCAATTCGAAATCGGAATCGCGGACATCGATTCGAATCGAACCGGCGGAATCGGAATGACCCCTGCAACGGCGGGGGAGACAGGACGGAGGAGGGTGCGCGGCAAAACCCCGGACTGCTTGATTGCGCTTCGGCGAGAACGATCGCTACCCTCGTGGCAGACAGTGGGCGAACGTCCCTTCAACAAACCCCGCTACGCCCGTCCACCAACCAGCAGCGGGGGAGGCGGGCACCTGGGTTGCTGCCCCGAGCAGTCCACCCCCGGGTTCAGACCCCCGGCTGCCCCCGGGGTTGCGGGCGCCCCCCCGGGGCCTCGGGACCCAAGGGCTCCCGCAGCGCGGGCCCCTCCCCTGGCCAGGGGCACCGCCGTCAGGCTGCGCGCGCTGGGGACAGGCCCAAGAACTGCCCCTAGTGGGCCGGTGCGCCCCAGCATTGAAAAGGAAAGCCAAAAAGGCCACGGCCCCCTCCCAGGCTAACGTTCCTCTGGCGGGTTTGTTGTGACCGCGCCTCCCCATCGCCCAGGTTCGCCTTTCTCCCTCCCCGGCCCCGCGCGGCGCCCCCCACCGTCGGCTGGCGCCCTTGGGCCGACATCGCCTCCGCCAATCCTCTCGGGGCTCACGCGCCTCCCCCAGGTGGGCGTGGAAAGCGTTGGAATTCCACAGCGCTCGGGCCTCTCCAGGTCGGGCGCCGCGCGGCACATGGCTGTCGCCCCTCCCGCTCGCGAGGAGTGGCTCCCAGCGCGAGCCGGACCGACTCCCATTGCCTGCGCCGCCTTGCCCAGGAGGTCCGCGATGGCCTTTCTCCCGAAGGGCCCCTGCGGGTCCTCCTCGGCATGGCCCAGCCATTTCAATTCGCCCCCCACCTCCTTATGGGCGTCTCTTGAGAGCGCGCCCATGCCGAGGTTGCGATTGGCCCGCGCACCCGCGGC